CTGATACTAAAATAAATCATTGTTTTTTCCCCCAGGGTTCAAGAGGAAATACAATTTATAGGTACATATTTGTTGAGCTCACAGATTATCCTCAACAGACAATTATTATTTTAGATAACCGTTGAAATGTGGTGTTTGGGGAGGGGAGGGAGGGGTTAACTGATTCTAATTGTAATACGACATTGTAGTGTAATGTAGTGTGGCCATTACAACACGGATTCATTATGTTGAACTAAGTACCCACAAGGCGTAGAGAGATTTGGGGGAGATGAGGGGAGACGTTTTTTCACGAACCGTTTCCGCCAAATCCAGAGGAACTCGGTGAATATAAGCCACCATCTATTTTGTTGGACACGTTTTTTTCAAGCACCATTCTGATAGAGCGGTTTTGCTTAACCTGTGAAATAGTTAGTAGACTAATAGCGTTTAGTATAAACCTGCTAATGGTATATCACAAATCCTGCGCTCCTATTGGCTTAGCTACTTGTGGTGTATAGACCCCTTGCATTGATTTCCTAGAGGAATTGTTCTGGGGGACAAAACAATGGGCCGTCTTTCATTATGCAAAAAAAAATTTCTTTGTCCCCCAAAACAGTTTCTTTCGGGACTCTAATAGTGATAGACAAAGACTATTAGATAACTGCTGATGTCAAAATTATTAATCAGTAGGTCTTGCGGATCATTATTTGGCCTTTTTCCCAAAATCCCCCCATGATATCCTTAAACTACAAGAACTCCTTCTATTTTTCTTGGTCACTCTTCATATTGTCTTCAAAGTCATTCGTCTCCTCATTAGTTGACGCGCGCTAAATAAAGGCACAGGCAGCCCAACCAAGACTACACGCGTTGGACGACTTCGACGCTCGCTGTAGGCCCTTAGCAGTTAACGGTCACGTGTCGGTACTGGAGAGCAAAACTTTTGTGTTTAGGTGATTCTTTTTAGCTACTTGTAAAGAACTGCATGAAACGATGTGTAACCAGTGTGTTGCGAAATACAGTTCTTTTACGATCTCTCGAAACAGGTTGTAGAAAGTTTGTTTGCTCTCCAGTAAATTCCACCCATGGGAATCTAAATATTTATTCATACGCTCTCAGGGAATTAATCAGCACGTTTACTGAGCTGCAAAGGGCCCGCCTATTACACTTGCTTCGCTAGTGACTCTGTGAAGTCCAATTATCTTTGACCGAGTGAGGATTAGGGCCAAGCCGTGAAACCCCAAAAGGGGAGGGGATGGGCGTCTTTCTTAGCTCCCTCCTCTTGGGATGTTAGACTAGCTTGCTAATACAACACAAGCACCAAACAGCGACCAAGAGAAATAGCAGCCGCACTGCTCGCCGTCAACACTATACTATACACAGTGACGTCCGTACTATAAATGAGTCTAATGATTAAAAAAAGATTCTTTATTCTTTCTTTGTTTCTCTCTTTAATAGACCTTATTCGTGGTGTGACAATGTTTTCCCATTTCAGCGTGACAAACCTCTGGGGGAGTGAAGAGCTATTGTTTTGAAACTCGTCGGTATATCCATAGTTAATAGAGGGGAATGGTTAGAAAACTCTATTGTTATAGGTTATTGTTCACTTTTTTCAAGCGTGACCGTGCACAATCCTTTGTTTTACCATTGTTTTATCATTGTTGGCAATGGCTGAGTGAACAGACCAAAATCTTTCTTTTGGCAGCTAGTTCAAAATACTTAAAGATTTTAAAGAGATATTTGAATATTCCTTACAATACTCCCATGGACAAAGTTTATGTTTACTTATTTCACAATCTCGGATGAGCATAAATCAAACATATTGCACGGTCAAGACCGGTTCAACCTCACAAGCGAACAAAGACCTGATAACAATAGGTTTCCTAACCATTCCCCTCTATTAACTATGGTATATCATTGTTAGTCCTTTCGTATCCTTTGGGATACTCATGAATTTTTCGAAGAGTAAAAACAAAAGAAAATGAATCCCCTGGAGGTTCGTCACGCTGAATTGGGAAAACATTGTCACACCACGAATAAGGTCTACTGATTAATTAATAGCCCACTTCCGAGATATGCTTCGCTTGTCACGCACAAAGATTTCAGTATGAGGCTACGTGCTAAATTAAATCTATTCTTACCACCTGTCACGAATGAWTGAGCATTTAGCACGTAGCCTCATACTGAAGCCTTCGTGCGTGACTAGCGAAGCATATCTCGRAAGTGGGCTATTACGAGTCTCGAACTTTTGGAGTGCAGCCAAAAAATGACTCAAAATCCCTGTATGTAGGCCTTTTGAAAGTGTTTCCATGATAATGTCGGAGAAAACACGATTCCTAAGGTCACGTGGCCATGGAAAAACCTCATTCTTCAAAACAAACGCTCGTGCTTTTTTAACACCTGACACAGCATTAATTAAACACATGCTTTTTTTGGAACATTGTTGCTATGGGCTCCCTGTGACAGGACAGAACAGAACACTTGAACAGAACAATAAGGTACAGTAGAATAGAATAGACTACATTTATTATTACCTTCCATACACTCTTACAAGTATTTAGGAAAATTAACTGGTAATATATTGTTACATAGATATTTCATACATAGACATTCAAAATACAGCCGTAATAACTAATCAACTATATAATAAATAAAACATTTTAGAGACTACACAGTAAATCAGTTCGGGGACGTTGTAGCCCCAAATATGAGGCCAAAATGTTTACCCAAAAACCGCTCTTTTTTGGGAGGCTGTTTTGGCCCTTTATATAACAGGGCCGTTTTTTGGTCCAATTTTAAAGAGCCAATATGGCCCATAGCCAAATGTCACAGCAATCACTGTCGTTCATTTTGTATTTCATTGATATGCCGGTACATAATTTCGATCAGTTAAGATTTCTAATTATACAGCTTCTCATTAATCCCATATAGGTAACTGTCCAATTATTTTCTAAATTGGACAGGTCTTGTTGATATGGGATTAATTAGGCAGTTATATAATTAATAGGTAATGGGATTTCATGCTCCCCTATTATTAAATAATTAGACTCGAAAAATTCCTCTGACTGCCAAATTGGACTCGGCTTACGGCCTCCTCCAATTTTGGAAGTCCTCGGAATTTTCCTTGTCCAATTATTTCTTAATTGGACAGCATGGAGTCCTTTTACATATACATATAATTTCTTTTTTGAAAACACTTCCTAGGGTTTATGATGTAGACAAACTTATCTTCTTTGCACTTAAAAGTCTACTATAAGGTTTGTAAAGGCGTTAATCTTATCAATAAAGTAATTTCGGACATGTAATGATGAAAAGGTAAATTATACACCGTGAAAAGATGAAAAAGTTTTTTCATCTTTTCACGGTGTATAATTCACCTTTTCATCATTACTGTTTCATTAGAAACAACGACGCACTAGTTTTTAGCTAGCTAATTTCGGACATGTTAGATGGAAATGTGTCTTCTACTCCATTTTTACATACTGGACGCTATTATCTAGTTGCCATAAATAACTAAGACCTATTCTATCGAGAATAGGACATTTGCATGGTGGTGTAATTTGACTCTCACTACCATAATGCTTCGCGAATTTTCCTTCTTATTTAAATTTGTATTCCCTCATGAGAATAGTAAGGCAATTTAGATAGCTTTGAAATTTCGCTATTACAATTCGTGAAATTTCTCCAAAATTTAATTACTCTTAAGCTTAATCTCAGTGGGGGGAAAACCCAATAATTGCACGGAAAATCGCAAGACATTTTAAGTGATTTAAATTCCTGAGGAGGATAGCTAAAAAGAATTGAAGTTTATTTCTGAACGCTATAAGGTATCCAAATCGATATTTTAAGCGGTAATAGTCGCTGTAAAATCAAGGGAAAATTCAAAGTTCGATGAAACCACAGGGATCCCATCCGAATCCACGGATACTTAGTCAGGTAATTGCTTCTATTTACAGCACAGTAAACCTATTTACAGCACATGCGCTAGAGTGCATTGCGGGCGTTTCTGATTGGCTCTAATCGGAGAAAAGGAAAGGTTGGGGCAGATCCAACCAGGAATCGTCCTGCAATGCAAGCTCATGTTCTTATGTCAGTACACTTTATTTCCATCGTTTTATTTCGATTCCTTATTAGCAGTTTAACAAAGTGACATCAGGCCCCGTCCACACTCTGCCGGATAAATTTGAATCCGCAACTTTCACACCGAAACCGAAAAAAAAGTTTTCCGTCCACACATGAAAACGGATAAAATCAGTTTCGCGTCCACACTAGTCCGATCAGAGGCGGCAAAAACGGAGCCCGCGGTGAATTTTTAGCCTTCCCGCCATGTTCCCATGACAATCATGACGTCATCGTATTCGAAAAATTTCGGGTACGAAATATTCTCCGTCCACACTAATACGACTAGCCGGCGTTTTCAAATTGTTCCACTCTGGAGACCGTATTCAAAAAAAATTGTTTTCGGTGAAGAATTGTTCCGGATTCGCCCGGAATAGTGTGGACGGTAGGCCTAACCGAGTAAATAAAAATTCGGATTCAAATTTATCCGGCAAAGTGTAGACGGGGCCTCAGATTGTTATGTGTCTGTCCTCTTATTGACGATAAATTGCGTCATCACATTGTCAAAGTAGTGTGGATCCACGAGTGGAACCGCATACTACTTTGACAATGTGATGACGAGATTCATTGTCAATAAGAGGACACACGCATAAAAATCTGATGTCACTTTGTTTTTTACAATAACAAAAACAAGAAAAACGATAAAAACTTTTCAAAACAGCTAACAGAAAGAGCGCGCGATCGATGACGACAGCTTTATCTGTCTGTCCTCTTATTGATGATAAAAATCAGCCAATCTGCGCGCGAGAAATTTGTTGAAAGTTATTGTAAAAATACCCAATATACATACAGGACCCTACAGCCATTTAAGGTGCTCAAATTTAGGACTTCCTTAAGCCTAGAATTTTCCGTAAGATGAGGAGGGCCTGGGCATGAGAATGGCTCCACAAGGCAGAGAAGAATAGCCCGGGTAAAATGTCGTATGATCGTAGTCCGGGGTCATAAACGAACCATCCGCTGAAATTTTTTGGGAAATTTCAGTAAAAACAACATGTAGATATTCGGGTTTAATGGTCCAAAGGCTACGTCGTTCCCTCTGAGTCGGAATCCTTACGAATCGCTTTCTAATGGACAGAGTGTGACGTATGGTGTTCTGTAGAAAGAATAAATGCAATTATGCTAATAAGAAGGCCACAGGAATCCCAAGGAATCTTTACGGTTAATCTCAAATCAACCCTGATTAATTCAAACTGGTTAGAGCTGTGCTCCCGTGGGTCATACATAGACTGTATAGCGGCTGCCACCATAATTCCATTGGTTCCTATTTGGGTTCTATTTGACTATTTGACTATTTGATTAGCGAAGAAATAAAAAACGCGCGCGTGTGCTATGTGTAATTATAAAGCACGCGGGGATTTGCAGAACACAAGAGAAGTGTTGTTAGGAGAAGCACAAAGCGTAGCGGATTGCTCCTCTCGAATGCTCTGGTAATCCCGAAGTGCTTTATTACTACGCACTGCACAGTAAACAAGTTTTTTTTATTTCTTTTATAAAATACAAATTAGAGTAACCGTTATTTTTGATGGGAATGAAAAATAGAAAGTGCGCGCGCGTGCTGTGTGCTCTCATAAAGCCCGCACTCCCATTCAATCAGAACGCGAGATTCATAACAGCTATTTTATAATATTTTTCATTTCATGGGTTTAATGCCTTCGCTTTATATTCCATACAATTGGTATAAGGCCCTGAACCAACCCAATAAAAGCGGCATAAAAGGCTTTGACTCTGCTCTAATTAGTCTAATTAACAGACTAAGGCTGGCTAAGGCCACGTTTCGTTACATAACCTTGAACGTGTTACACGTGATTTTTGATCAGTCGGGCACTTTAGAACTTTTGACGAAAAGCGATTATCAGAAGACGTCTGTTACTTTAACATACTCGATTATATTTCGAGGTCTTAAATGAGATTTGTGCTGACCGTTCCCTCATCAATCACTGGCTAGCAATCCGTATACGTAAACTTCGATCATCGCGGTGATCTCGTCATTAGGGCCGGGCCTTGAAATTATAGAAATTTTATTTATGAAAAATTTCAAGGTCTACTACATCATTATCGATTTCCTGGAAATTAAAAGTATGTAAAGGTTATATACCGTTACCGAGGTGGATATTTATCTCACATCCAACGAGGTATCGTGTATATAACCTTATATCATCATTGAGGAAGTTTCTTAGAACGGGGTTGATAACTAGATATCAACCTGGACATTCCTTTGTTTAATTAAGTTGGGTGAGTATGAAGGATGAAGACAACCAGTGAGCAAAAACATGACTCCGTGATGATAAAAGAAATCTCTTAAAGTCAAGGCTGCATGATCCGTCTATAACTGGCCTTCCATTCACTTGCAGCTGCAGAAGTGTGGAATGGTTTGTGCGAAAGGAACTGACTCAATGATGATATAATAAAACTTAAAACTGCATGATCTATAACTTACCTTCCATCCACTTGCAGCAGGTTCATATTTCTTCGTATAGAAGTGTGGAATATTCCGTGCCACCCAAGCATATATCTCTTTCACAGTCATCCTCCTATCACTAGTTGAAAAGATGGCGAGAGTGATAAGATCTGTATACGAAAAGTTCCTCCAAGCACTTCCAGGCCTTGTTGGCCAAAGATTCAATGCCTCGGTCGTTTTTTCATACAGCCCGGTTGAACCTTGAATTGTAATAGGATGAGAAGTGGACGTCCCTTCGTTGGTTGCCAAGTTAGCGTTGAATCTAATCCCTATGGGTCTCTGTACGGATTAAAATTTCTTGATTAAAGTTTGTGCATTTGCAAGGACGAATCCGGGGGGGGACAAAGGGGGGCTGAAGACCCCCTTCAACAGAAATAAATGATGCCTTTTTATTGTTTTTCGTTGTGTTGAGGGAAGAAACTCAATTATCCCCCCCCCCCCCTAAAATTTTGGCTGGATCCGCCCTTGATTTGATAGGAATAAACACTGAAATTATGCATGACCAATATGTGATGATATTAACATGATAATGACGTTAAGGTAACATCGAAACGTCGATTTTTTTCGAATTCAATGGGCTTTTAGGATTTGTGGTTTACTAGTGTTGAATTTTAAACATAAACGACTATTCAAAATCTCTGCTAAAACAAATTTGTGATAAATTAAATTGGTTAACAAAATTCTGCCAAAATAGGCGAGGTAATCGGATGATAAGAAAACGTTATCATYATAATGTAAATAATTCATCAATGTTTATTCGTAAAGGACCGTATGTATGAATAAGGGGTTATCAGTATGATTGTTTCATAATTTCTGACCCGGGGTGGGGGGGGAGACTCCAGGAAAAAAGTACCGGGGATGCTCGATGCTCGTCGTATCTCTCAGGGGTAAAAATTCGCGATTTGGTATCTTTTAGGGTGTTAAGTGCGAATTTTTGAAAATCAGCATTTTCTGGTATCTCTTAGGGTGTTGGAAAAGGAGAGAAGCGTGCATCGATATGGCTTATCCTAGGCGCTTTTTATATAAAATTTAATATTATTTGTTATGGTATCTCTTAGGGGTTAAAGATCATTCAGCCACGCCCTTTTTTAAAGACTTCCGGTATCTTTTAGGGGTCTTTTTGAAAGTTTCCGACTAGCATCCCCGGTACTTTTTTCCCTGAGTCCCCCCAGGATTTCTGACTGTCATGTGTTAGACAGAGCAGAAAAACGACAAGGCTGCTACTTTCGCAATTTTTTTCTTAGGCCCAGGTCAGACGCCGTAATTCACATGAGCCGAACCTAATTGTAGTTTGGATCGACTTTTGGAATTAGATCGACTGGGTTGAGTCAAACGTCGAACTTATTACGAGTATTTACAGTCGTACCAAAAGCAATCATGTTTGAGTGGTCAGCGGCAAACGCATCATAATGGCGTCTGCCATGGCAGCTCGCCGGATATTGCTAATAAAAAAAAATTTGAATTCAAGAAGAAGACGGGCTTCCATCAAAAAAAGCATCATACTTTTGCAAAAAAGAAGGGTGGCACTGCTACGTGTATGTTCTGTTTCTGCTCTTCTTCTGCTTTCGCGAAATGAAACGGACGTACTTGAAAGAGCATGTAAACGCTTTGCACGTAATTTTGGCTGGTTTGAAATTGTCTGGAACAATTATTCAGATGAACGGTTTAAGAAAACATTCAGGGTTTCCAGGGAAACATTCCTTTACATTCTCAGAAAAATCGAAAATCATCCGCCATCTTTGAAGAATGCTCAAGTGCGCATGCGCTTTAGTGATGGTTAATGAAAACGAGGCCAAAACATGCATTAACATAATTAATGCATTTGGATCGGCCCATGTGAGGTACGGCGTTTGACCCGAAGTCGATCTTCAGTCGTTCTTCACGACTGACCTAGTCGTGAAGAACGACTTAGTCGGTCCAAATTGAATCAGTCGAACTTAATTAGATCAGACGCCGTACTTCACATGACCTTATTACCCTGTATTAGGTTCGGCTCATGTGAATTACGGCGTCTGACCTGGGCCTTAGTCTCTAATTCATGCTTAAAAAAACGTTTCGTGTTTCATTCGTGTCTCTTGTGCTTTAAACTTTTCACAAAATTCTGCTAACCTCGAGCAATTCAGTCAACTTCGAGGTATTAGCGAAAATGTTAATTTTTGTACTGATCAAAATRTCATCTCTCTCAACGTTCAGGGCCTTATATCTCAAATACGCATTCCTTAAATTTCACTAAATTCCTTAAATTTCCCCAAATTTTGGTATTTTGTTAATCAGCCCCAAAAGAGCCTGTTTATGAAATATAAAGCTTATTAACGCATAAACGTCGAAAGTAGAAGCCGTGTTTCTGCCCTGTCCATGTGTCACCCTTCTTGAAATAAAGTTCATTTAGGCAATTTTTATATCCGCAAATTATTTTTTGCGGATACGAAAATGTTTGCGTCCACACGCAGCGTATTCGAATCGTTTTCACCGTCCACACGTGTCCGTTTTCGTAAAATTTGCGAATACGGACACAAAAATTTCCGGACACGTGTGGACGCAACCCGTATCCGTAAAAAAAAATTTGCAGATACAAAAATTTGCGGGTACGTGTGGACGGGGCCTCAGGCTTATTGGATGTGTTAGTAAAAGGTTATCATTATCATCATAATGTAAATAATTATTTAATGTTTATTTGTAAAGGACTGTATGGATTAGGGGTTATGAGTATGATTGTTTAATACTTTCTGGCTGTCGGTTGTTGCCCTTCTTGAAATAAAGTTCGTTCATTCATTTATTCAATCGTGGCCATGTGATAAGCTCTCCACGTTTTCGCGAACAAAAGAGGAACATGAAATTCCAGTGTTTCTTAGGCCCCGTCCACACGTATCCGGAAATTTTCGTATCCGCAAATTATTTTAGCGGATACGAAAATGTTTGCGTCCACACACAGCGTATTCGAATCGTTTTCCGCATCGTCCACGTTTTCGTAAAATTTGCGGATACGGACAAAAATATTTGCGGGCACGTGTGGAAGCAACCCGTATCCGTAAAAAAAAAATTGCGGATACAAAAGTTTGCGGATACGTGTGGACGGGGCCTTATTCAATCGTGGCCATGTGATAATCTCTCCACGTTTTCGCACAAAAAAGGAATATTCTCAAACTCCAGTGCTTATCCAATCACATGCGCGGAATCGAGAACAATTTGTCGGCGTAGTTGCACCTTTGTCGGAAAACGTAAAGTTTCTAAGGCCACGTGAGATACGGGCGCCTTGATAGATATTGACTGAATGACAATTAAGTGCTTGCAAATATAAGACTTACTTGTGTTTGAAATAAATTGTCGTCCTGTAATCTTCGTGGAACTGGTTCTGCCTGAAACATGAGCTGCTCTTGATACTTGCCATTGCGACCTAAATAAAATATATTCAAAATAAATGATAACGATAATGACCTCACTCTAGCTAATTCTTTATAACTGGTTCTTAATTAGATAAAAGGAGAATTATAACTTTATAAAATCTACCACTATTAGAAATTAATTGGCTTTTGTATCCTTAATATTTAAACATGATTCGTACAAATCTCTGCACAAGTATTAGACTAGCAAACCTACGAACAAATTAAGATTTCGCGAGCCAATGTCCAGTGTAATAAACACTTCTTGGTTCTTAACGTATGTTATTTTGATTTTCATAGATCGTACTTTCTCGAATTTGCTTCAGTGCATGATTACGAGACAAAATAAAGAGAAAGAGAAAAGAATGAAAATCGAGAGAAATCGAGAGAACTGAAAAAGGGAATAAGAAAAAGAAAGAAAAATAAGGAAGGCAGAAAACAAATATCTTTATAACAGTAATGATGAAAAGGTAAATTATACACCGTGAAAAGATGAAAAAAC